CAGGATAATCAGATTTAAGTAAATAAATAAATACGTTAAGTTATTTTAACTCAAAGAAATTGTGGAAACTGATCACATCGAACCTTTTAAGTAACACAAACTCAATTTTATAGGTTAAAAAATAACTTAATATAGGTAAAAATAACAAAATTATGTCAGTGTCACTTTAAATTACTAAAACTACTTCATGAAGAATGTTTGTTTTAATTAAAAATTTGAATGTAATTAGTTCCAACTATTTTTTTTGTTAAATGAACTGATCTGGTTTTATAGGTCAGATAATTGTATAAAAAGTTCCTTAAACAGGAAACAATCTCTAAATTAATCTAAATCACTAATTTTACACAAACTTCCAGCAGTTACTGAGTTCATTAGTCGGGTTAATCGAGCAGTTTTTAGTATAATATTAAATATATCCATTAAATATGTCACTGAGTCAGTTTATTCAATGATTCCTTTAAGGAAGAAGAATTTCCTCTCAACCTCGGGATCTCATTACTCTCGCCCAAGGAGAATTGATCAAACAACGCAGTCGAACCCGCTGATATGATAACGAGCCAACAGCCAACTAATTATCTGCTCTTAGACCTCCTACAGGACAACTATCTCCTCTGGCTCGACGCTGCTGCCACACGGCGTCCTCCAGCACAGTTTGTGTCTCGCTGTCAGACATCGAATCCTTTTATATCGCAGAAGGACGGACTCCGATCAGCGGCCTTCAGGTTGAGGACGGCGGATACGACACAGAGCAGTTAGACACATGAAGGATAAAATAAAATGTATTGAAGGAAAAATCCTCTTTTTAACTTCCTTCTACTCACAAAACTAATAATTATACTGTTATTTTATTAGAAGTGTTCGTTTAGGGAGCCGAATTATCCACAGAGGATCTTCCCGTCAATCAATCTTTAACTTTTAGCGACACAGAGCGAAGATTCATTAGTTAAACTTAGCCCCCGGAGTTTGATTTAGATATAAAACATTAATTAATGAGCTGCTAATTGGTGGATTTTGTTACTGTTCTGAGCCAGGCTAGCTGTTTCCCTTCGTTTCCAGTCTTTATGCTAAGCTAAGCTAACCTGGGCATCAACCTCCAGCTACATATCGACCAACACATCTAATTGTGTTTGAGGAGCTCTGGTGGGACCAACAACCTCCTTTGTCTCCCATAAATACCCCGAGGACACCACCTGTCCCCGGGGAAATACACCAATACCACCATCACTCTCTCGTCTGGTTTAAGGTGTTGTCAGCTCATCAATTATTGAAAGGGGGGAGCTGATCAGGTGAGAAGACGGGTGAGGGAGACAGACTCGGTGTGACTGGATGTTCAGAGAGGCCGACGCAGAGATATTGACAGTGAAAACCAGAATAATCAACTCTGGATTAATTCAGCAGTGATTGCAGAGTGAAAAGAAACAAAAATCGATGTATTTTCCTTCCTCGCTGCTGATTGTTTTCCTTCGTCCTCGGCTCTCGAGTTGTCTTCCCCTTCTTTTTCTCTCTCTCCCTTTCTCTCCCTCTCTCTCCCTCCTGAGAGTCTTAATTCCTTCGCCTGCAGAATAACAATCTGCTTCGGTGACGCAACCCCCTTGACTCAGGACGCCATGAACTGAAACAATCCTCTGACATCGTGTTTCTGCCGTCTGCAGGTGAAGACGCTCGCCGAATAATCAGCGTAGATCGATGGCGCTCTGCTCTTTATTCCGTTCACAGTCGGCGCCGAGCTTCTGACGTCCAGGTGGAAAGGTCTTCGTCTCTCTCTCGACGCCCGCTGATTATCATTTCCTTCACACCGCACCGGGCAGCTGTAACCCCGACCTTTGATCCCGATCCCCAGTTCTGTTTGTCTTTAGCAAGAAAACTCAGCTTTTTAACTTTATTTTAGACACTGACTGAACTTTATTTAACAACGTTCAAACGCTCATTTATTACGGTTTTAAAGGATTTAGAGGCTCCTTTCACGCCGCTGTTTTAAAGTGTGAAACTACAGTGGCCATGAAATGTACAAACAAAAACATTTCTTATATTCCGGTGATTTTACACTAAAGAAAACAAACCTGTGAGACTCCTAAATGTCCCACTGGACCTTCAAAGTGTAAAATCACCTGAATATCGTTGTGTTATTGTTAACTTATAACAGACGCTGGATGTAGGCGGGCTGAGGAGGCGGCAGCACGCCCTAAAATCTGGTATAATGAAACTATTAGTTCATAAAAATGTTTAAACATATGATGACTTTCTCCGTTTTCACAGGGATTTAAATGTGTACGCTGATATTTATGGCAGGAAAAGTGGTTTTACCTAATTTTTTTAATCCATTTTATCCACTAAAAAGTTGTAAAAATGTGTGTAAATTCTTGTTAATAAGTATTAACTACGGTATAAATAATCCTGGCTGTTCAAGTTAATTCAAAAACCATAAATACAAATGCAGCATCCCCAACTACTACACCGTAGTTTCTCCTTTGGGTTTTAAAGGAGAGGGTGAAGCGAGGGAGATGCAATCTGCAACCACATCGCTCATTTAAATCTATCACACTTTTTTTTTATCCTATTTTCAGAATATTTAAAAAGACCAAACTTCCATCATTGTTATTTGATACTGTTACATCTTTTTTTTATTAAACACTAATAAAAAACAAACCTATTAATATTATATTCCAGTTCTGACAATAGATCCTCTAAATGTTTCACACTCTACTAAAAAAAGGTCGTTTTTAATGAAGTTAGGTTAATGAAATGAAGCAATTATCAACTTGTGGTTCCTCATCACAGATCAGAGCTTTAATATCGTTGTGTGAGTACATTTCACTTCACAGATTGTTTGATTGGAACAATTGTTACGAGGAAAAGGAGGTAAAATTTATTTACAAAATTAGACAAAAGTCAACATAATGTTTTACTTTAACAGAAATACAATAATTACCACTTCTTCTTTTTGTAAAACAACAAAAACAAATCAAAAGTCATAAAAAATAAAATAAAAATCATTTTCATTTTCTTTTTTATGATTCACTTATACATTTTTTATTTTGTTTTGTTGTTTTTTACAGGTTACACTTTAAGGGAAATATATCCAAATTTAATTCCACAACCTTGCTGTGAATGACATTAAAATGAAAGTCATAGTTTATCCTCCGTATAATGAGACACTCAGAGGCCAACCGGTGCAAACTAACAGCCTGAGGCCTTCAAACCAGATAAACTACCACATAATCCCGACAATCATTGGGCTTCACATCGCAGACATAAATCAATACAAACAAACCGCAGCATCACGTTTTTAAAACCCTCTCTTTAAATTACTGTCACCAGGCAGCTTCCACCACTTTTTAATTCACAATAAAATAAAATAAATAAAAATAAAATCACAATTCAGGTTCAGTGAGTGAAACGTCTGATGTCAGTCTCACCTTCTCATCCCAACATTCACTGTAATCCATCGATTTAAAATGTGCCACTGAATTACTCACAGCTGCTTGTTTCATCCAGTACATGTTGTGCTTTGCTTCCTGCCAATGGTGCATTCAAGGAGCGTGGGGACTCAGAGAATGAAACAACTGTCCTGTTAGAAATTTGGGGATTTACTGATTTCTAAAGATGAATTTTAGGTACAAATGTGCTTTTAATTATATTTTTTATGTAGCTGTGCATCTAATATTTACCTATTTAATATAAACCTATTTATCCGCAGTGTTTATCAGTAAAAGTCCAACAATGAAAATGTTACTTAAATAAAAATATAATCAGGAAAATGTATGAAGAATAAAAGTACTGTGATTGTTGTTATTAAATGTGATATCATTAGATTAAAAACAGGATTTTACTGTTGCTCATTTTTAACTACTGGACTGCCACTAATAATTAGTTTAGTTATGGATTAATTTGCTGATTGTTTTCTCCATTAATCAGTTGATTGTTTGTTTGGTTACTTTTTCACAATATAAAACTTCACATCTGAGAAGCTGGAATCATAAAATGTTTTTACATCAAATAGTCTGTTAGTTGAATTACCTGATTAATTAACTAGTACTTTTATAAACTGTTGGGTAGTTTTATAACAAAATATAACATTTTATAAACTCTTTGTATGTTTTTATATTTATATATCTTCTTTTTTAAAGTAACAAAAGCTGACCGATGTTTGTGAACATAATAAGAAATACTTTATTGATTCCCGGGTGGAGAAATTTGTTGCGTTACAGTTCCTCAAGTTGCAAAACAAGAACTTATAACCGACCGCGCAGAAATAGAAACTAATACATCAATATAAATATGTGCATAAATTACTATAATACATAATAGGAAGAATAGATGAAATAGACTGTAAAAAATATGTTACAGCTCATATTGTAGTAATATGCAGCAACTATAGGAGAAAATAGTGTGTGTACTATTATTATTATTATAATTATATTATCCCTGATATATCTGATGACATGTAATCTCTTATAGCAGTGGTTCCCAACCTGGGGGTCGGGAACCCTATTAGGGGTCGCCAAAACTTCACCAGGGGTCGCGAGGCGTTCTTGATTTTGAGGTGTGTTAGAAAACTAAAATAATATACACAGCAGGCGTATATCTCTGCATTTGGTTCACTTCTGGGTAAGAAAACACTGAACTTGTCAAAAAAGAAGCTTATTAAGTCTGTATGGTTGTTAAAAATGATTTAAAAAATACATAAAACAGACAAAGAATTGAGTTCATTGTACAGTTTTTTATAACATAATATAAAATATTTACAAAGTATATCAGGTTACTAAATGATAAAAAACGGGTCCTTTAAAGGAAAAATGTTGGGAACCATATCTTATAACAACCGTTTTCAGCTCAATCCCAACGTTTATACATTAAAGAGTAAAGAAATCCCTACACTCCCTGAAGGCAGCACCGTCGCAGAGGCGCTCGCCGCCGCTCTGCGCTCTGATTGGCCGGCGGCGGCAGCGGTGGGCGGGGCCGCCTGCGGAGTGCGGAGACAATAGAGAGCGGCTCCAGGGACGATCAGTAGCGGGGAGACAGTGACACACAGGCGGACGCTTTCTGCATCAGCACCGCGGAGGAGAAGAAAATACAACAACCGGGACATCTGCGACATTTCCCCCCGGCGGAGTGTCTGGTGTCCGGATGCACTGACGGACAGTGAATGCGGCACGTTGTGAAAGGTAATCAATCAAGTGATCATTAATGTGTCTTTACATTGTGTTTTTATTCACATTCTGCTGCTCGTTAATTGATCTCTGTGTGTGTGTGTGTGTGTGTGTGTGTGTCTTTGTTGTAAATCCTCACACTGACCGGGACTCCTGCTGTGTTTACAATCCGGGTTATCGATCACAATCAATAACATTTAAACTGTTTTATTTCTTTAATCTGTGAATCATATTTTAATTTCTTACACACACAACTTCCATCCAACTCAGCTCAGACTGAGCAGAACAAAAGAGCTGCAGTTTGTGTCCCAGCTGCACGTCTGAGACTGTTATCGATGAATTATTGGTGGATTTATTGATCCGCACATGATCAGGGAGCAGGCTGTGATAGACATGAATGCTTTGTGTCTGCAGAGCAGATTCACATGTCTTTGTGCTGCAGGTTTTTTTAAATGCTGGCAGACTGTAAACAGTGTTATTGATTACCGATATCGGCTCTCTGATCGAATGCTTTGATCCTTTTACTTTTATTATTTTGTGTTTTGGGATTATCTTTATATTCTGGTGGAATTTCATCCAACAGCTTTCAGGCTGCAGAGTTTTTGCCATCAGGGCTCTCATAGCTTAAATTATTTATTGATTTATTGATCAGTTGATTGACAGAACAATCATCAGCAATCGATTGGTCGTTTTAGGCGTTTTGTCAAGGAAAAACAGTAAAATTTGGACTAAAATTATCTTCTAAAATGAAGATTTGCTGCTTTTTTATTGTCAAATTTCACTAAAAAACATTCCTATTTTTAGACTTTTAAGACGTAATCAATTATATTTTCACAAGTTCTTTCACATTTTATAGCTTATATGATCAATTGGAAAAATAATAAGCAGATTAATCAATAAAATATATTCCAAGTATTTAGTAGTAGTAGTATTAATAGTATTCCATTATTCTGTCGACCATTTTATTGATTAATCGATTAGTTATTTAGCCTTTTAGCATGATGCTATGTATGTAGCCATGAGTTAGCTGGTAGCAGGCTACTGATGAAGCTAACGCTATCTCCGTTGAATCGATCAATCTGTTGATCATTTTCTCGATTAATCGATTAGTTGTTTGGTCCATAAAAGTTCAGAAAACAGTGAAAAATATTGATTACTGTCAGAGGATTAAAGAAACCGGAAAATATTCACATTTTAAAAGCTGACGATTAATTGATTATAAAAACAGTTGGTTATTGATTTTAATAGTTGATAACTAATAATTTAATCTACTAATTGTTGCAGCTTTAGTTGCTATCGCGTATGTAACGTTATCTTCGTTAATGTTTAAGACTTTAAGACGTCACCGTTGGATGTGGAGAGTTTGTGATTTATTGTATATTTATTATTCACTTTACTTTTACGTTTCATAAACTAAATGATCAATTAGAAAAATAATAAGCAAACAAATCAATCTGACGATCAATTTCTCGATCAATCGATTATTTGTTTGGGCCATAAAATGTCAAAAATGGTGAAAAATGTTCATAATTTTTTTAAAAGGTGACGTCCTCAAAAGGATTTATAGTAGGATCGTTTGTCATTGATTACATTTAAAATAAGACTTTTGAATATAAAATATATAACTTTTAACTTGTAGTGTTATTATTTTTGAAGTTATACGTTATTACCGCCTGCAGTACCCCAAACTACCCCTCGGGGTCCACATACGTAGAGACGTACGCATCTGTTCAACCAACTGAATCATCTGTATCTGTATCGGTACTTGGAGTGGGCGGGGCTTAAACAATAAGTGGGCGGAGTCTAAACCATATGTGGGCGGGGCTAACTGGAAGCCTGAAACTGATACGAGTTGATTAGAAGTTGTTATATTTGTTAGAAAACTATTTACAGAATTGATCAAACAATGTTTTCGATCACAAGAGTAAGATAACTGTTTATACAGAACGTGTTTTTAATAAAAGTTTGTATAATTTACAAGTACGGATATTGATTTTACTCGTATTTAAACTCTGCTGCTTTGTCTGAAATCAATGACCTGTTGCTTCAAAAATGTAATATTTTGAGAAGCAAATTTACGACTGTTCAGGTTTTGGAGTTTTATTTGAATATAACGAGACATTTAAGAGGCGTCTCGTTTGATGCTGAGAAACAAACGTACTTTTTATCAGTTAGAAAAAGAATCTGATTAATCGATAATAATGAGTTGGTTGTTGCCCTGCAGCAGTTTGAGACGTCTGTCTGGTTTTCTTTGCACACCGACGTTCACACGGCAGACACTATTAACAGTGCGGAGCCAGAAAGAAAAGTCAGAGAAGGAGAGATTAAAAACAGACAAAAAGGGTGTAACCATACCTACTGTAGCGTGGGGTTCACGGCGGCAGAAACAGGGTTGGCATTAAAGGAGAGCGCCCAGCGATGTGCCGCCGAGCGTGCAGGCACAAAAGCCCCCGGCGGTCGCAGACGCCGGAGGCCGAGCCCGTTAAAGCCTCGCTCGCTTTGATGTGCTCCACAGCTCCGTGAGCGGGAGCGCCGTGGGAGCCGAGCCCTCCCCCGCCCCCTCGCTGGGGGACCGAGCCGCGGGCCACCACACAGGCGGAGAGGCCAGAGTTTGTGCCCGTGGCGGCCGGCAGGATGGCGTTTTAGTTGTACAAACATTTCTGGAGGGAAGAGCTGCTCGTGGGGGCAGAAATAATCTTCCCCTGGTTGTGTTATTTCTGCAGGAAGATTCAGCATTTCGACCACGTTAGTTCACTGGAGCTGATCTTTGGTAAGAGGGAAGAATGAGAGCAGGAAGAAAATATGTTATTTAAAAAATTATGTATTATTGTACAAAAAGTTCTGAACAACAAACGAAGCCAACGTTATCTCCGTTAGCTCGCTACAGCTACGGACTTCTGAAGACGACATCTCGGGCTGTGAAGAGACATTTCAGAGACTACGACTGAAATCCGTTGTTATTTTCATTATCAATCAATATGTCGATCATTTTCTTAAATAATTAATTAGTTGTTTGGTCCATAAAATGGTGAAAAATGTTCTTTGATTAAGTCTACACTTGAAAAACCTGAAACAAGACAGTGATTACATTTCTGTAGTTTTTGAGCTGAAAAAGTAATTTTCATTATCAATTATTCAGGCAATTATTTAATAATTAATTGTTGTTGTATAAAAGCCCCAAAAAATATGGGAAAAAATGTAGATTGCAGCACAGTAGACCACAAACAGACCCCCAATTACTTCATAGTCACTCAGTGATCAAACTGGGATCACTTTAAGCTCTAATCAAATTGGCCAACCCTATTTCTTCCAAAAATTGTGAGAAAAGTAAAACTATTATATTCCTCCTTCGGCTGGGGACCCCGACAACCCACTCAAGGACCCCTGTTGGGCTCTGAAACAATACCACGTTGTTTATTAGCCCCGAAATAGGAACCTGTCCTGTTCCCTATTGTTTGTTTACGGAAAACTTGAAGCAAAAAGTCACATTTGATAAAGAATATTTAACATTTTTTCCACTATTTTTGCTTAAAAAGTGATTAATCAATCATCAAGGTACTTCATATTTCACTGTCGATTAACCAATCGATTGATACATTGATCCAACTGTAGTGAAGCTTTCCCTCCCCAGTTAAACATAAAAAATCACACTGTGTTTACGAGGCTCTTTTAGTCCAGCAGGTCAACAGCTCAGGTAATCAAACAACCTGAATCAGTGACCTTTATTTGTCTGTATTATTATACCGGAGCAACAATCAGAGACAATTCATGTTCAGTTCTTCTGCTGCTCAATGTGTGAGTGAACAGAGGAGACGACAGGTCGACATTTAATGCTGAGCAGGTCTATCCTCCACTTTATAACGGAGTGAGATGTGCAGTCAGAGCTCATAAATCAACGCACTGATTTCATTTATGCTGCCCGTCGTTATGTTTTGGACTCAGTGAAGCCGGGTTTGTTTTCGGAGGCGACGTAACAGCAGATTATTACTTCCACTCAGGAGGTTTGTGCTCAGTTTCTGCTTGAAAAAAAAACATTTTTACATATTTAATCAAATTTGGCTCAAAGTAAAGCCCTGGATTAAAGCCATGGATGAAGGATTCCTCATTTTTGTTGATTCTCATGAATTACTTGAAAAGAAGAACACTCATCCACTCCAGCGGCTCCGTAAGGTTGTACTTGCACAGTGATGATTGAGCTACCATGCTAACAATGACAATGCTAACAAAAGAATACAGTTCCCCAAACGACCACTTGAGGCTGGCTCCAGAAGTGAGTCAATCTCCATAAGGCTGCATATTAAAACGCCCGACTTTACATCAGAAATAAACATGTTTACAACCCGGTACAAAAAACTGTTTTGGTCTCTGTAGCTAATTCTCTCCGTTAATGACACCTGTATGGGGGTGAAAGTTTATATAACTCAAATTAACTCAATAACTTAAATTATATTAAGGCTTAAAATTATGCATAATTAAGGCCATGGCCGCTTGGAGTGACAGGTAAAGCCGTCACAGGCGGCTGATTTCAATAACCAGGCTTCATTTAGCTCCACCTCTTTGCCCATTTTATGCCCTTACCATGGAATCATCTTAGTTTCGCTTGTCAGCATGTTAATTATCACCAAACACAACGAAGCTGAGACTGATGGGTATGTGATGAGTTTTGCAGGTTTTTAATCATAAACTTAAGTTTTCCTTTTGGTGTTGCGAGATAAAAAACGTTTAAAGGATCAATAAAGTTATTAGAATTCATTCTGAAGGGAACGAGACTGCTTGTTTTAAATTTCATGACAATCCATCGATTAGTTGTTGATATATTTTACTCAAAACCACAAATATCAACCTTATGGTGGCTCCAGAGGAAAAGTGTGAGGATTACCGAAGTGGGTAGGATTCGTCCTCTAGGTTTCACTAATGTGTGTCTACATTGTTGTGGCAATCCATCCAGTAGTTGTTGAGATATTTCAGGACCTCCATAGAGCCAATCTGCTGCTAGCGAGGATAAAAGTGTTGTT